TTTAATTAAATATTTGGGTATTATAGCCTTGTCAGAAGTAATGGTGATGACGTAGCTAAAGCACTCAGCTGCTAACCAAAAGACAGTTACTAGAACCTACCAGTAGCCAGCTTGAACCTTTGTAAGTTCTCTATCATACAGTGACAGAGAACTTACAGAGGTTCAAGCTGGATTCAGAAGAGGCTATGGAATGAGAGATATCATTGCTGATGTCCGATGGATCTTGGCTGAAAGCAGAGAATACCAAAAGGATGTTTACCTGTGCTTTATTGACTACGCAAAGGCTTTTGATTGTGTGGATCATGACAAGCTATGGACAACATTGCGAAGTATGAGTATTCCAGAACACTTCATTGTACTTCAGAGAAATCTGTACCCAGACCAAGAAGCAGTTGTTCGAACAGAACATGGGAACACTGAATGTTTTAAAATTGGGAAAGGTGTGAGACAGGGTTGTATTCTTTCACCATACTTATTCAACCTGTATGCTGAGCAAATAATACAAGAAGCTGGGTTCTATGAAGAAAAACGTGGCATCAGGATTGGAGGAAGACTCATTAACAACCTGCGATATGCAGATGATACAACCTTGATCGCTGAAAGTGAAGAGGACTTGAAACATTTACTTATGAAGATCAAAGAGCACAGCCTTCGATATGGATTACATCTCAATGTCGGGAACACAAAAATCCTCACCACTGGACCAATAAACAACATTCTTATCAATGGAGAAAAGATTGAAGTTGTCAAGGACTTCATTCTTCATTCTTCTTGGATCAACTATCAACACTCGTGGAAGCAGCAGTCAAGAAATCAGACGACGTATTGCATTGGGAAAATCTGCTGCACAGGAATTTTTTAAAGTATTGAATAGCAGAGATGTCAGCTTGAGGACTAAGGTGTGCCTGACCCAGGCCATGGTGTTTTCAATAGCCTCATATCGATGCAAAAGCTGGACAGTGAATAAGGAAGATAGTGGAAGAATTCATACCTTTGAGTTGTGGTGTTGGAGGAGAATACTGATAGTGCCATGGACTGCCAAAAGAACTAATAGATCTGTTTTGGAAGAAGTGCAGCCAGAGTGCTCCTTGGAGGCCAGGATGGCTAAGCTTTGTCTCTCATACTTTGGACATATTGTCCGGAGGAAGCAGTCGCTGGAGAAGGATGTCATGCTGGGTAAGGTGGAGGGTCAGAGAAAAAGAGGAAGACCCCTAACGAGATGGATTGGCCAGGTGGCATCATTGATGGACTCAAGTGTGGCAGCGGTAGTGAGGTTGGCCCAGGATCAGACATTGTTTCGTTCTGCTGTGCATGGGGTTGCTATGAGTCGGTTCTGACTTGATGGCACCTGATAACAACAACAACAACCAGTAGCCAATCTGATGGATTTGCAGCCTTGGAAACAGGGCAGTTTCTTCTCTGTCCTATAGAGTCCATTAGGAGTGAATATTGACGAGGACAGTGAAATCAAGTTAACATAAAGTTAACCATCATGGTTATCATAATTTGGATAACCTTGAAGTGTTACCAATTTTCTATCTTAAATCCCAGCAGTATCTATTGAACATTTAAATAGGGCTTAAACTCTATAACCTCTGTAACTGCTTACTAATTTACTGCCATGTGTCAAATCCAACTCATAGTGATCATGTATAGGGTTTCTGAGGCTGTAAATCTTTACTTGAGCAGAAAACCTCATCTTTCTCCTGAGTAGCTACTGAAGGGTTTGAACTGTTCAACTTATGGTTAGCAGCCTAGTGTTTATCCTCAGGCATCAACAAGGCAAATGCCTAAAGTCCTATAATAAATTGAAGTTTTCAGTGTCAATTGAAGCCTGAAGTGATAGACTAGACATCATTGTAATGTTTCTGGAATTCTACTTTCTTAAAATGGGTAGATTTAATAATCTTTAAGGTCTTCTCAGCCACTGAATACCAAATCCTTTCCGTCTAATTTATTCCAATTCATAGGAACCCTCCCTGCAGGGCAAAGTAGAATTGCCCTATAAGGTTTCTAACACTGGAATCTTCATGGAAGCTGACTGCCATATCTTCATCCTGGGCTGGTTGTTTGGAATAGCTGACTTTTTGGTTAGCAGCGCTGTACTTCAACTACTGCACCACTAGAAATCCTTTTTGTTGTTGTTGTTATTAAGTGTTATAGAATTGGGTTTTGACACAGAGCCACCCTGTATAGGGTTCCCCAGGGGCACTTGGTGAGCTTGAACCACAGGCCTCCCGGTTCAAGCAGACCTTGCAATCCAGCTTGTTAACCAACAGTGCCATACCAGGACTCCTTGAAAGGATTTAAATGTGATTCTGCAAGATATGTGATCAGTCCTTACTGTAGCTACAGCATTGAATTCCTTTTCTAGGAAAACTATCCAAAAATATTTAAGGTGGACTTGTGGCTTATAGAAGAGTTCTGGTAGTGCTGTTGGTTAGGCAGCAGGCTTCTAGCAGCAAGATTGTCAGTTCAAACCCAACAGGTTCTCTGTGGGAGAAAGATGAGGTTATTTGAAAGATTTAGTGTCTCAGAAACTCTATATAGAGTTGCTTTTGTTTTTGCTGTTGTTAAGTGCCATCGAGTCGGTTCCAACCCATAGTGACCCTAAACAGGATTTCCAAGGCTATAAATCTTTATGGGAGCAGAAAGCCTCATCTTTCTCTCGTGGAGCAGCTGGTAGTTTTGAACTGCTGAGCTTGGGGTTCGCAGCCTGATTCATAACCCTATGATACCAGAGCTCCTAGAGTTGCTATTAGTTGGAATTAAATTGAAGGCAATGAGTTTGGGGATTTGTGGCTTATAAAAATCAAACAGTGTAGAGCCATAGAATAATGTTTTGTTGTGTGTCATAGAGTTGATTCTGAATCATAATTAGCCTATAGAACACAGTAGAACTGCTCTTTTAGGGATGCCAATATTATAATATTTAAAGAAACAGATTATCAGGTTTATCTCCTGCAGAGCTGCTAGTCAGTTTAAACTGCTGACCTTTTAGTTAGCAGTCACATGCTTAGCTACTGCACAACCAGGGCTTCTTATATAGGAAAGTGATTGTTTTTATTAAGTGTCATCAAGTTGGTTCTGACTCACAGCAACCTTCTATAAGGTTTCCAAGCAACAGTTGGTGGGTTTACTGGCCTGGAGGTTAACAGTCCAGTGCTTATCCTACAGCACCACACCAGGACTGCATAGAAAAGTGTTGTTCTTGTTGTTAAGCGCAGCTGAGTCAGTTCCAACTCAGAACAACCCTGCTTAGGATTTCCGAAGAGCAGCTGGTGGGTTTGAATAGCTAAACTTGTGTTCCTAGTCCAGTACTGATCCCACAGTGAGTCCATAGGAAAGTGTGATGTTGTTGTTGTTTTAAGTGCTGAGTTTCGACACATAGCAACCCTGTATAGGGTTTCCAAGAAACAGCTGGTAAGTTTGAACCACTGGCCTTGTGGTTCAAACCAACCTTGATCCAATGCTTTATCCTACAGCCCTATACCAGGACTCAATAGGAAAGTGTACTATCCATTAAAACAAAAAGATTTTGTTTAAAAAAAAATTGTGGTACTTTAAAATCAACATAATAATAAAACATTTCATTGAAGAATGAGAACACCCTTAGAAGTCATATCATGAATCTGTTACAGATAATACTCTTAGGAACTTCTTTCCAATAATACAGGAAACTCTGTCTTCCTTTGGTGTTGTTAAGTGCCGTTTAGTTGGTTCTGACCCATAGCGACCCTGTACAGGGTTTCCGAGGCTGTAAATCTTTACGAGAGCGGAAAGCCTCATCTTTCTACCATGGAGTGGCTGGTAGTTTCGAACTGCTGACCTTAAGATTCATAGCCTGATTTGTAACCACTACGTTACCAGACACCTTGTAGGTTATGTAAAAGTTAGTCTGTAGTTTTGAGATGAATTTAATTTCTAATGTGTACCACAGGTCACAAATATGTGATTAAAAATAAACATTTAAAATATTTAATGCAAAAATTCCCAAGTATTCAGAATATATATAAATTTTATGGTTTTCTCTGGAAATACTGCAAATACAGAGATTGAAATTAGTTGAGAGAATGGTACTTCAAATATTCTCTTCAATTTGCTCCTGGTAGCAATTTAGTCAAACAACCTGCTTGGAAGTAATCTATTTGCAGAACCTTGTGAGGGAAAACCTGCCACATTATATAATTCAGCGAGCAGGTTTTGGCTCTCACTTCATCAATCCATCTTAAATAGTGGCTTGAGCTCTGCATCTAGCAATAAGTACGATCAAGCAATTTAGCACAAAAAGAGAAAGGCTCCACAATTTGGCATCCCTGTGGACATTAATCTTTGAGAAAACCAACTGGATCCAACTTTTGCCAGAGTTTAATAGCAAAGCTGTCACATTTTACACAAATGTGTATCAAGTCTGTTAGCGAATGGAAAGAGGGGAATGGGAGGAGGGAAAAAGGGGGAATGGGAGGAGGGGAAAAAGAGGTGGGGCTGCTGACTGGACTGTTTTCAAAGTGGTTCCAGTTTATAGGGGAGGAGTTGGGATGCTCCTCCTGGCAAGAGAGACGAAGCAGTTGAAAAATATTACTAGCAATGGGCAGGATACCCGGGATGTGGGTATATAAGAAGGCACTTACACCACAGAGCTGCTGCTGCTGCTGCAAAAAACCCGAGTGAATAGGGCACACGGGCTCAGTCCCACTAGCCAAAGACCTGGAAAGGAGCAAAAGGGGCTTGTGAGATCCAATCCCTGCTCATTTTTCTTTGGGACAGACACAGGACGTCCTAACTCTCTACTTTACCCTCTCCCCAAACGCTTATCTGGCTGCTGTGCGCTCCAGAGCGTAGCACAAACGCGCCTGGAGGCAAATCAGGGGGAAGGCAATGAACCTAGGTGGCCTTGGAGGCAGGGAGGCTGCTGGTTTCTAGTAGCGAACTGAGCCGCGGGCAGAGGCAGCCTTCTCTCCACTTAACTAACACCTGCTGCTGTTTCTGCTGTGGCTGCTGCGACCGCTCCAAGATGAGCCGCCTGGTCTCACTGATGCTGGGAGCCGTGCTGCTCTGCGGCCAAGGCGCCTTCTGTCGCCGGGTCGTTAGCGGTGAGTCTGGGACTGTTTGAAGGACCGTGGGACGCTTGCGGGAGAGGGGCGGGTGGTTCTGGGCAACCTGGTCCAGGGTGGTGGATGTCCGAAGACTGGACACTTGCACTGGGATGGTTACCTGGGGGAATTGGGAAAAATTATTGTTCTATTCACTTCCTCATATGTATCCCTCCTTTTTCCTCCACACCCCTTTCCTATCCTCTACCTCCTACTTTCAGAGTTTAAATGATTTTGAAACGCCAGGTTCAATAGCTTCAGGACTCTGCTGCATCATGAGCAGCTACAGCTGCTTCCAGAACTCATTCCTACTTTCTTTGTAAGAGAGTTGGCCCTTGGGCAGTGCTTGGCACCTGCAAAAGAGGTGGGTTAGGAGAGAAGCAAAGGGAACCCAGAGATAGAAAAGCCTATGCAGAAATGCCACCCCTTGATAATCTGGGTAGACTTTAGTCCCTACTATGCTTAATCTGAGATTTCCCAGACCATCTTTGTTTGCAGGAGTTGGGTGGGGTAGTCCAAGGCCCCTTGCGCGGAAAGCCTTTGTTCTCAGGAAGACTGACAAAGATCAGGGAACTTGTGCATAAACAGAGACACCTCTCCTTTGTACCGTTTATTCCATATTGGAGGTCATGCCACCAAATGAAGTTGACCAGAATTGGGCTGATGTGGGCTGATGTGGGTCTGTTGGTTTGTGCACTGTAGAGTCAGTAAGAGGAAAGTGGATTAGAATTGGCAAGCTTCCCAGGTTTCTCTGATTTTTTTCTTCTTCTTCAACTTTCATTGTTCTATTGTTGAGCAAGTTATTCTATATTCACCCTTCCTTACTTTTTTTGGAAAGGCCTCTAGAAAATATGTAGATTCTCAACAGCCTTGAATGAATGAATAGGGCACCAGAAGGCTTTCTGTGATCTCCTGCTATTAGGTTGTTAAGGTGTTAACTATTTGTTTGCAGTTGATGGGCATGTTTTAAGGGGTGGGAAGATTTTTGTTATTGTTGTTTGTTTTCATGTAAAAAGCATCAATTCTTTTTCACATATTGTGAATTTGAATAACTAATGTCAAGAGAAGTAAGTGAATGACAGGTGACAGCAATTTAATCAGGTGTAAAGCCAGACCTTTAGAATGTAGCATATCAAGCTTAATTGTTACTGATTTCCCTTGCAGCAACTTGTGATGTTCGGCATCTTCAAAATGTAATTCTTTAATGTCTAGTTACCAACCATTCTCCAATAACTTTGGATTTGGCCCTCTGGAGATAATAGGATATTAAATACATTTTGAAATGTCATTTTTAAAAATGCATGCTGCTTACATTTTGAGAAAGAAAATCAAACAGTTTGTGTTTATAAAATAGAAAATTTACAGTAATCAATAGGATGTTACAGAGCCCTGAGTCTAGATCCTTACCTCCTCCAAACTGTGAAGAAAAAGTTCACAATACAAGTACAGACCCATTGAAAGTATAAAACCTTCATATTTATCAGAGCCTTTTTGCAAATGCATGAATAGTTGAGACCATGCTTAAACATAAGGAGTTTTTCAAGGCAAATATTGACTTAAACAGTATCATCTTGGTAAACTTTTGTTATATGACTTAAATGTTGTAAGAAAGAAAAATAATATCCAAAATAAAAATGACTTTTAAAAATTGTTGATGAAAAGTTTGTGTTCTATTTCAAAAAGAAAAGAAAAGAAAAATCTTCCAAACCTTTTACTGTGTTTTTAGATTTAAGTTTTTATAGGCATTTTGTGCCTATAGGCATTTTGTGACATCTGGAAAATTTCTACCTAACTGAACATAGTCTACTTGATTTAGTCTAAATGATGAGGCTTATTTGTTATTAACTTAATTACTAATTACTATATTCTTATGAATAATTTAATTGTTTGGCTATATGAAGTCACATTGAAATTTAACCATCTGTAAATTAATTTGTGATTTTTATCCTTTGAAGGCTGTTTTTCTAAACAAGATGTTTTTCAACCATAATGACATAAGTATATTGTGAAATGTGACTGAGTCGGTCACAACTCATAGTGACCCTGTATAGGTTTTCTGAAGAGCAGGTAAGTTTGAACCTCCAACCTTATGGTTAGCAGTCCAGTACTTGTCCTATAGTGCCACACCAGTACCCTAAAATCTGACTTTTAAGAAACAGTAGTTCCTAACTGGTCTATAATAACTTTTGAGTTCTGTGTCAACTTTTTCATGCCACCAGGGGCCCATTTACCAAATTCCTATTCAAGTGTCTGAGGAGTGCAAAGGACTCTTTGTGGCCGTTATAAGGGGCATACTAACAACATTTGGAACGTATTTTCTATTTATTAAATTCTAATACAATAATTTGGTAGGAGAGATAGGATACAAAAATAATCACTTGTCCCAGAAAAAAAGAAAGACAAGCAATCACAAAATAGTTTTCCATAACTATCACTTCATTTTAGTACTTTAAAATATTCAATAAGACAATGTTCAGTACTTTAAGATAAATTACTTCCTTTTTGAAATTTCAGTGGCTTTGTTAATAAAGTTAAGAATATTTTAACAAGAAATACCACTTCAAACTACTTTAGTATTTGTAAGTTTCAATAATTTTAGCAGTAATAAAAATATTTTTATTTTTAAGACTTTAGTAGCAATGATTATTTTTGATCCATGTATGTTGTTGTTGTTGTTATGTGCCGTGGAGTCAGTTCCGACTCATAGCGACCCTGTACAGGGTTTCTGAAGCTGTAAATCTTTACGGGAGCAGAAAGCCTCATCTTTCTCCCTCAGAACAGCTGGTAGTTTCGAACTGCTGGCCTTGCGGTTCACAGCCCGATTCATAACCACTACGCTACCAGAGCTCCTTTTTGATCCATGTATATGCAATAAAAATAGATAATCATGATGGTAATAATCAAAACATACTTATTGAATGTATTCTAAATAGGTTACTACATTTAGGATCCTAGACCTGATCTAATTTATTGCTGCACGTACTTGTGTAGAGAATTATTTAAGTTTTATTTGGTTATGACATCTTCCTTGGGACAATGAATTTATTTATGGACTATGTAGAAATACAAAAATTTAGAGCTAAAATTTCAGGTATCCAAGATAAGTAGAAATGTTTGAAGAACAACTGATATTTTTAAACAATTGAAATGTCTTGAATATTTATTTTCTTATTATCCACATTTCTTCCTAGTGTGCATGGCAGAGATCTACAACCTGGTTTGTTGAAAAATAAATGGCATTAGATGTATTTTATAATGCCTCAAGACTTCTCCAGATAGTACATTATGCATTAATTTAAATGTATTAAAATTGACATGAAGTTTATGTAGGATATTGGGGGATTTGGAGACCCCTCTTTTTGTCCTAAAGATACCACAGGATATTTCAAATTCACATCTGACAATCAGTAGCTAATAGAACAATATAATAGCAAAGATGTACAGGAAAAACTGCTGAGCATATCCCAGCCTATGATAGTATTCCATGACATCATCAAAAGCTTAAAGTGATGACAGTGCAGTTTTCAAAGATGCAATTACTTTAAGTATCTCTTGGGCAAGAAAGGAACAAATTAATCTCATTGCTAGTCATTAAACAGACTACACATTTATCATAGTCATTATTCCTTAGCTACTATTTATCGTCATTTTATGGTTTTGTTTTCTTAACTCTTTTTTCTTGAGGATGGAAATGTCTATTATATTACCTGTATATACAAATAAGATAGGCAATATTATATTATACAGTATTATATAATTATGTATATTATTGGGGAACATGGTTGTTTTATAGGATAAGCACTGGACTGGGAAATACAAGGTTGGCAGTTTGAGCTCCCCAGCGGCTCAATGAGAGAAAGATGGGGCTTTCTGCTCCTGCAAAGATTTACAGCCTCAGAAACCCTATACAGAGTTGCTATCAGTCAGAAGTGACTCAATGGCACATATCAACAACATATATATTAGTATTTTATATTATACAGTACTTTTCTGTTAACAGCCAAGCACTTTACCACTACACAATCAGAGCTTCTTATAAAAAACAAAAAACAATTATTATAAAATAGCGTTTAAAAGAGGTGATATTATGTTAAGTACCAATAAGTTGCTTTCTATATAGGGTTTCTGAGGAATAGCTGGTGAGTTTGAACCACCTACCACTTTGTTAGCAGCCCAGTGCTTACCCTACAGTACCACACAAGGACTCGATGGTCTTACATGGTGACAGTGGTGGCTGTGTGCCACCTTGGAGGTTCTGACTCACAGAGACCCTGTACATTTACAGGAGCAGAAAGTCTTATGTTACACCCATGAAATGACTGGTAGATTCGAACTATTGACCTTGTAGTTAGCAGCCCAGCTCATAATCCACAATGCTCTCAGGGTTCCTTATGGCATTAAATGTTGAGTGCTGTTGAGTAAGTTCAACCTCATAGCAACACTGTATAGGGTTCCAAGGAGTAGCTGGGGGGTTTGCTCTATCGGTCTTGTGGTTTGCAGTCTAGTGCTGATCCTACAGTGCCACACCAAGAGTCCAGGAGCCCAAAGTAAAACTTCAACCTGATGCACAAATATATTTACAACTACTTTCTATGCTATGCACTTTACATATAGGTGGATGGATCTGCATGCCTGTTAGGCAAGATTGTTTCTTTTGACACATTGTCTAAAAATTGATTTTATTATTTGACTCGTGGTTTTATTGGTATTTCAAGGAGGCTTACAAATGTGACTAAATTTTGGGAAAAATTATGTTGAATCATGTTTACTTTATTCAGAAAATAAAAAGGCTACATAAAATGAGTATAGATATATGGTATAAAAATTTAGAATAGAAGGTGTTCCAGTATTATCCATGTATCTGTATATTTTGTAAATGATTCTTCAACACTTGCTCATCCACAAACTCCCAATGTATACATAACCCCTTACGTATCTTCTTCTTATTAAATCCCATTGAGTAGGTTCTGAGTCATAGCTACCTTTTATAGTGTTTCCAA